GACCAGATATTTTTTAAAGACGTACGAGGTGAATGTTACAGAAAAAATGTAAAGTAGGCCATGACGATAAAGAGAGTTACGATTGAAGTCCTTATAGCTACATACGTTTGAATAAAATTCAGTGTCATATAGAAAAGAAGAAAAATTGTACGCTTCGACATGCGTTAAGTTTTGCATGGCGTACTTTACAAACATCTTTTGTTTATCACTTTATGTTATAAGTTAGGTCTTCCGAAATAAACACATTCATGGTTGTTAAACTGGGAGAATAATTCTGTTGTTAATACATCATTCCACATATCAGAACACAAATTATTTACATATTTACACGACAACGTATCTGTGCTTGTACCAAGATCGATCTCACGCTCTTTGGACGATAATAAAAAGTATTTAATTTTTAAGTTAATAGATCGACCCCAAAACATGTCACCCTTTATAGGGTTGACAATGGAAGGTCTAGCGAGATGTATGCAGAGGCATCTTTACTGGTCGAAGGTTAAAACTGGAGTTACGATAAGCGAGAAATGAAACTATGTGTGTTGTTTGTTCGAGGTTTGAAATCGGAGTGTGTTTGTGAGAAAACGGAATTATATCACCTGCTGGCAATGACGGGAGAACTACTCAGTTCTTGTATGTTGAGGGCGTGTTCAACTGGTGAAATTTTGCTAAAATTATTTTAGCTTCGTCGAGTGGGAAACAGCTAAATATTGTGATGTAAGCGAAATGCAATTTGGTTTTGGGTCATACTTGTGCCTACGTAACATTCCTCACGCCTCTACAGAAAATATATTTAGCTTATATTTTATCTGCGATATGAGATTTTTATTTGTAGGATAGATAATATGCATTTTTCGAATGTTAGGGTTTAATTTGCTTCCGATTTCTAGATGCTAAACAATATCCTTTGATTCTGACTCTGATGCCAATAACTTTTTTCTTTCTGTACTTTTTGTTATTTCTTAGACTCCTTTGTGTTAGTTTTTTGTACTGTGTCACTACTTGTTTTATTTTTTTCAATTTATTCGTATTTTCCTTCCCCAGTTTTTCTGTTTCTTCTTTCCTTTATTTATTAGATGTTGAGTATGGTCAGGAGATGTCAAAATAGCTCCAAGGTTTTTAGATGCTTTTTTATTTTAAAAATAAAAGTGAGCTTTGATTTTGCTTATTAAGTATAGATGGCGCGCTACATACTTCATTCAATGGACATCCAGGTATAGAAGTGAATTTATCGCTTTTGCAGATCCCATTAGAGACTAGAATGAAGAATGTATATTTCTTGCTGATGAGTCTTAACAAGGTCAAAACCGATCCAAGAATGGACGTTAAACTATACTGTTAAAAATAATTTTATATCTATGCTGTTGTGGTATTATCCAAAGGAGTAGTTAAGATAATCGTAAATTTCTCCGGGATGAAGTTCAATATTGATATTGGTAAGAAGAAAGGACCAATCATAAATTTATTTCAAAAATTTAAAGCTTATAGACGGACAAACTCGTAGCATAAAATAAACGTGACATGATTTGATTTTGAACGAAAGACGATGCAAAATATTAAGAAGTTGAATTTTCAGTTTTGTAAAACATTAGCGTTACTAAGGCTAAATCACGTAGAGGTTCTTTACCTAGCCCTGGTTTTTAAAAAGTATTAATTGTCGCCTTTTAAATAGGGTTTTCAAATTTTTTGAACAAGTTATGTAAAAATATGTAGGCTCTTTATCTCTCAAGCTTGTCCATGGGCCCCTCACTCTTTAAGTTTGTCTATGTAAAAGTATTTGTTCTTTAAGCCTGCAAATATTTGGATCATTTACCGCTTAAGTCTGATCATGTAATAAAATTTCGCCCCTTTATCGCTTAAGCCTCATATATCAAAATGTTTCATTCATTTACCTTTTACGCCTGTTTATATAAAAATATTTGAGTCATTTATCTCTTAAGCCTGTAAAAAAAATAAAATCTATTATCCATTAAGCTCATAAATATATAAATATATGGACCCATTAGCCCTTAAGTTTATTTAGTTCAAAATATTTGGCCCATGCAAAAATATTCGACCCTTTACCCCTTAAGTTCGTCTGTATAAATACATTTGGAATTTTTATCCCTGTAAAAATATTTTGCCCATGTAAAATATTGGAATTAATTTTTTAATCCTAATATCAATGTCCTATTATGTTATTCGCATAAGATACACATTCATTTCATCTTAAAACTATTATTTTCACCTACGATAAATATCTACTAAAATAAAATATTGTAAAAAACGTATAGAAACCAATTAATATATTGGACATTTAAGAGTGACAGCAATAAACAAAAATCTAGTTTTACAGTTGACAAGCATGGCCACCCACATAGTTTAATTGATACCCTTGTTGCAATGCATAAAATAAGATGCACAAGAAATGCATTTTAAAACATCAAAACTTCAAGTCGATCGAAGCTTCCGTTCTAGAGTTATACCGGGTCATTCCATATGGGCGGAACACTTAATTTATGGCTTAACTATGATAAAAATTTTTGTACATTTTATGTACTATTTATTGACGTTTACAGATTTCCCGCATACGTAATGATTTTTAAGATATGGGCAATATTTTAAATGGATCACCCTGTATTTATATTTTTTTCGAGTTCGTATGATCTGTCTGATTTCATCAATGGTAGATTAAATGGGTCCCAGACTTATTTAAAATATTGCCCGATGACGTCATATGTTGAAAAACATTACGTATGCGGGAAATCTGTAAACGTCAATAAATAGTACATAAAATGTACAAAAACTTTTATCCAAGTCAAATTATCGTACAAGTCATATTTAAGCCATAAATCAAGTGTTCCGCCCATATAGAATGACCCGTTCCGCCCATATAGAATGACCCGGTATAGACACAGACATACAGACGAATTTTCTTGCGTTTTCTGATTTTGAATGATCGGAAACGTGAAGAAAAATATTAAAAAGTGAGGGTAAGAAAAGTTTTCATCGGCATGAATGCTATACTGGCGACGCCCCATAGGTACGAGTCTCCTCAGTAATAAAAATATACTTGGTTTTAGTAACTAAAAAATCTACATTCTATTGTTTAATAACTCAGGATCCACAACTACACGTATATCTAAATTAACTAAATTTTCAACAATTTTTAATACTACAATTGTATGTAAATTTAATAAATATGTCTAACTTTAATATACTATTATTTTAACCCAGCATTAAAAGTAATTAATACTGCATTAAAATATCATTTTTAAATGTGGCTACATCAAAATGAAAGTGTAATTAAATGAACTATTTCTATTGGTTTAGAAAACGCTTACATTTTATTGGTGTGATAAAATAACCGACCTTATCTTTGTTTGGTTTACATAAGAAACCATTGTATTTATTCATTTATAAGTTTAAGCGAGTAGATGCTCCACAAAGATTATGATAACAGAAATTGTTTTTTTTTTTAATTTTGATAATGAATTTGTACTTTACAGTTAGAAATACCACAATGGTTTTAGATAGATAAGTGTAGTTACATTAAATTATTATTTATCCATGGACGGTAAATTATTAATAAAGGTGTCATGAGACTATTATTTCCCATAAAGTAAGTGTTGTTAAAATTGACACCACTGGGCGGGGCATAATAAGTAGTCTAAGCAGGGTCACATTCAGGTTACAGTAGCGTGTGCAGAATAATTTCAAATAAGTTGCATATCTAAGATTTGTTATAAATGTAATAATAAATAATCTATGACCGGATCCCAAATTAATCTGATTTATTTATTGGCCAAGCGTAATGACTCCTACACTATTTGTTTTTCTGACTAAATTCTTGTTTGAACGCATTTCTAACTACCCGGCTTGGAACATTGTATTTACAATCAGGTATTTTCTTTGAAGATTGTTGAAACTTTCAAAGTAAAACTGCGTTTGAGACTGATAATCCCGTACGGATTTGGACTCTTGTTATAATAAACCAAACAGGTTTCTCTAGCAGAACACTTATGAGTCATAAGATTTTCAAAGATGGTTCTTAGGTTAACAATTTTATTTCCTATATGGTTTTTAAATCAGGTTTTAATATGGTTTTTAAATTAGGTTCCAATATGGTTTTCAAACCACGTTCCAATATGGTTTTTTAAATCAAGTTACAAGTTTGGTTCAAAAGTTACAAAAATATATTTGTAAATTAGCAAGAAAAAAGAGAGAAAAAAGTCTAAAAGGCAAACCGTAGACACGTGTTTCTGACTATTGGTCTTCATCAGTACGGTGCAGCCAAGTTCAAGATAGAAAGGAACTAGCGATGAAATACAAACAGGAGATTACTCAAGTAGCCAACCACACATTTTTGGCCTCGACCAAAAATCCCTGTGTTCACAGGGAAGTTATCAGCGTCGCCACGGCAGCAGCTATAGCCATCATGGTGATGCATCCCAGACCAAGGAAACTAACCAGGAGAAGGTTTAGTACGGTGCAAATTTACAAGAAAAAAGGTTATTGGGCAAATACAGCAAAAAAGAGACAAATGTGTGGTTGACCACATGAGTGATATCCTGTTTGTTTATATTTCATCGCTAGTTCCTTGGCTGCACCGTACTGATGAAGACCAATAGCCTGAAACACGTGTCTAAAAAGAGGGACACAGATTTTCTAATTTCCGGTGGTTTCTCGAAATCTTCGCCGTATAGCATCTGGAATTAAAAAAAAGTTAGATTATATTTAATTAGACAAAACAGTAAGTATCAAACTTTTTTGCTAATAATTTAGATATAGGTATATATCAGTCAGAACCATATAGAAAACTTTTTTTATTATTAGTTTATGAAACTTTTTTTACTCATGTACGGAGTTTGTAAAAAATTAGGAACTTTATGCAAAAGTAAATTGCCTTTATTTTTAACAATATAATTTCTGCGCTCTTGCGAATTACTGAAATGGCACTAAAGTCAAATAGGGTAGGTACCTTTCAATATTATGAATAAAATAATAGAATAATATTACAGGCAGCTGATGAACAAATGAACCAATTAAAATCCTTAATCACTGAAGATAATTTACTTACGGAAAACGCGTTAGATCAAGGCTTTGTAACTGAATCAGAAGTTGACTTAGTCGTGAAAAGTTCAGGACTTGTGCCTCCGACAGAACACATATTAGCCGATTCCGATATAGAAAATTCTGAACCTAATAAAGAACGCGATGACGATTACAAACCAGGCGCAAGTGAGGATCACACGAATCACAACTTAGTAAGTAATGCCGAAGGTACCCTTGAAGAAATTTCAGTAAGAAAACGCAAAAAAAGACAGCATGTAAACCCAGATGGTTGGAAGAAAATAAAAAACAAATTAAATAAACAATGTGGAAAAACTTACTTTGGTAAGAAAAAAAAGAGCAAAAATGGACCTACACTATTCCTAAAGAAAAGAAAGCTTTAAAACCTAGATGCGACTGTAACGCAATGTCAGCATTTAAATGTACCACTATTTTAAATGCACAAATAAATAAAAATTTTGAACATTTCTGGAGTCTAACATGGAATGAGAAAAAAATATTCCTAACAACGTTAGATCAGAAAGAATTTACTGCAAGAGCAAGGGATAGAAAAGTAGAAGGAGAATCAAGACGAGCATTTTCTTATATTTACTATTTAGAAACAGATAAGAGAATAAAAGTTTGCAAGACCGTGTTTTCAAACACATTAGGTCTCCCTGCGAGAACGATAGGACGTTGGTTGCTTGAAAAAAATGCTAGTGGTAATTTTGAGCAAAAGGTTATTGATAATCAAGAAAAACAATTAGACACAAGACGATTAAAAATAGTTGATTAAAAAACTAACCTCACAAACTTTTTCAACACTTTCCCAAAGCTAGAATCCCGCTATTATAGGAAATCAACAAAAAAATGTACCTTGAACCAAACTGGAAATAAAAAGCAGATCTCTACAGGTTTTGCACCGTTGATTGGTGTCAGAAAACTAATACCCAGCCATTATCAATTGCATCTTTTCTGAGTGTATTTAAAGACATGAATATTTTCCTATTTAGTCCCAAAAAAGATGAATAAGATACCTGCGTAGGTTATAAAACAAAAAATGTTTCTGAAACTACTTATCAAACTCATATATTTATGAAAGAGAAAGCCCGAAAAGAAAAGGAATAATAAAGAATAATATAAAAGTTTTTACCGTGGATTTACAATCTGTTCTTCTTTCTCCTAAATCAAATATTAGCGCTGCATATTATAAAACCAATCTTATAGTGCATAACTTTACTATATTCGATATACAAACTAAAGATGGTTTTTGATTCTTATGGCATGAGGGACACGCTGGTCTAACAGCTAATACATTTATTTCTATTATTTATAACTTTTTAGAATCTAACATAAAAAAGGAATCGGTAGAAAAAATCAACATTTACAGCGACGGTTGCACCTGTCAGAATTGAAATGCTGCATTGACCAGTGCTCTTTATAACTTGTCAATCCAGTTAAATATAAAAATTGAACAAAAGTATTTGGAAAAAGGACATACGCAGATGGAGTGCGACTCAATGCACTCCACGATAGAAAGAAAATTAAGAAATAAAAAAAAATAATGTTCCTGCCGATAGAAGTATGAAACAGCCCGATTAAAGCCCAAACCCTATGTTGTGCGTTATTTAGATCACACATTTTTTAAAAATTTTCAACAAACTCAATTTTTTTCCTCTATCAGTCTAGGAAGAAAATCAGGAGAACCAACTGTCACTGACATTAGGGCGCTGTAATATGGCAAGGAAGGAATAACGTATAAGATTCGTCATACTGAAGAATGGCAACCACTACCGTTCATAAGAGTACCTAGAGATATGCCGATATGGAAGTATAATGAGCTTCCAATGATGTATTTAGCTCCGATACCAATAAAAGCTGAAAAATATCAACATCTTATGGCTCTCAAGACTTCTATTGGAAAAGATTACCACCCATTTTATGACGCTTTAAAGCATTTATAGTTCATGTTTACAATTTCAAATAAGTAATATTGTTTCAGCTAGATAAACAGTTATAAACATTACAGATTCCGTTTTCTAAAAGTTATTTAAGCCCAACTATGTTTTCATACGCAAAAACCACAAATTACTAAAATTTATAAACAATTTAGAGAGTTTTTTGCGTCTCCTGTAAAATTTTCTTTTTTTGGAGGTATGCCATTTGCACCTTAAGCCGACGAAATGCAATTTAGGAAATATGAAAATGAAAAATCCCCAATTGTCCCTACGAAATCATGAGCAATATCCCCAAAGTGAAAACTGAAAAAGCTGAGAATTAAAGAAAATAAAAAATGAATGATTTGGATCAAATTTTATGCGGAATTTATTTAGATAAAATGAATTTTATGTGGGATTAGTTTTGTGTATCATTTTCTTACTACACTATTATTGCATTTTGTTCTCCCATCATGAGTGACACATATCACTGTGACATTTCAATTAAACTATCGCCCCAAAGAAGCTAATAACATGAGTTTTTGATGCCGAATAAACCAATGAAAAAAACATTAAAAAATTCAAATAAGTGTTATTTATTTTATTCAGTACTAGCAACAAAATAAATTATGCTTTTAAAATGTTCCATTACTTTTGATATTTTAAGTACTAGTTTGGATAAATTAGTAACATAGACTTAAATCATCTTTTGGTTTATACCACTTTAATATTTTTTCATATTGACTATAAATGATATTTTTGTTTCATATAAATGCAACTAGGGTTAGATAAGGAATTGTCTAGATTGACTAGACTATTCTCCTAGATCAGTTACACTTCTAGATTCTACCGTTAACATTTCAACAAATTTTCTCCACTTAAAACCGTGAAATTTGCGATTATTTCAACGGATTCCGATTCAGAAGTACCTTCCAACCAACAATGCAGTGTTGCACCAACGGTCACAATCTGACTTGCAAAATACTTTTCTGCTATTAACCGTCATAAATTTAAATTCTGGACGAAATGGCGAAAAAAGACATATCTAAAATGGTAATAGTAACGGAAACTTTTTTTTAAAACTAGATAGAGGGGAGTTTCCTGAATAAATATATCATACAATATGTTAACTTTTCAATTCTGACTTCAGGAAAATGGTATAGAAACACAATGCTATTAAATAGATAGAAATATATTGATAAGTCGCCGAGTACGGACCGCAATATTCTATGCTTTTTATCAAATGGGAGTGGTTATGTTAATTATTCTCTTTATACCTCTTGCGTCTAAATATGAAGCGTCTCATATTTATTTTGCCTGTAACGTCGGTTAACGTACTGTAATGCTAAATTTACACATCCATAAAAATAACCCTTAATTCGTCGCCTATATGAATTTTTTTTATTTATCATGTCTAAAGTTGAAAATAGCAAAATTGAGACTCTATTTTCGGAAATCAAACTTGCCGCACAGGTGCCACGTGTCCAGTTTTAAGAAAATTAGCTAACTAGCTTATTATAATCAGTAGTAATACTATAACTACTTCAAAATAATCAGGTTATACATCGATAACTTGTTGCATAATTATAAAGAGTGTCAGTTTGACAGTTTAAATAATCCGACCGCGAAGCGGGAGGATTATTCTGTCAAACTGACACGATTTGTAATTATGCAGGAAGTTTGAGATGTATAACCGTATTTATTTTGAAGTACGTATTGTATTTGATACGATTATTTTTTGAGTAAATTAAGTAAATATCAACAATTTATTAATTTAAATACATATTGGTACAATGAAAATTACAATTATTAATGATTGATAAACGTCAAAATTTGACGGTCCTGTTAGTTGTCGATGTGGTTACTACGGAAATGAAATTATTGTAAATATTTTTGATTGGTGGAGCTACTCTATGTATAATCAGGTATTATCGAAATTATACGAGGTAACTTAACTAAATTGAACGTTCTAATTGGTTAAAAGTTATACGAAAAAAATAATCAGTAAAATGTTGTGTCCTAGTAAATGTATAGAAAACCCTCTAAGACGCAACAAATAATAATAACCAAAATTGTTAACATTTAGTGAAATTTTACGAAGTGAGTAGGAACATGAGAAGTAACAAACCATCGAGTTTAAACTAAAAAATTGGCGAATATTTTATTATTTACGCTAAAATGCGTTTGTAAGGAAGGCCATAGAGAACAACAGATAAATGTAATTAGTAATGCCGCGAGACGTGAGATTCTCGATTCTCGTCTCGTCTTGTCTCGTCTCAAACGAGACGAGAGAGACATTTTCCCTCGAAAACAGATTCGAGACGAGATAGTATCATCTCTCGACGAGAATTTCTCGTTTTTCTCGAACTCTCTCGAGCTCTTTCGAACAATTTTCTCTTTGCTTATTTGAAATTTTCAATTGCTTATCGTAACTTAAAATTTTAACATATTAGATTTCGAGATAGTCAAAAAGTTAACTATAACACACCTATTCTATATACAGTGAGAATCTTAAGTCTTACCCCCCCCCCCCCGTAACTAACTCGTTACTGGGGTCTTGTTAGGAAAATCGCCGAGACAGGTCGATTTTTGTTTTCTACAATGTACATTTTTGTATGATTGGTTTACCCTTAATTTCATCCCTTACTCGAGGGGAACAACCCTTTCGAAAAATTTAAATGGCATGGGGTGGTTTTATTTTCTATTCAACTGTGAAAAAAAAATTTAAATTTGCTTCATTACGTGTTGATTTATTAATGTTTAAAAATAACAAAATCTCACAAAATAGGAAAGCAACTAAACTAATAGTGACCTTCTAATGGCAAAAAGTCTTACTTCACGTCTGAACCAAAACCGAAATCATGCAGGGCCGAATTTTAATTCTAAGGATGAATGTGCTACGTTAATTTCCGTTATTCTGAAACAAACATTAGTCGAGAATTAATGAAGCAAATTTCAAAATTTTTTACATGGTTGAATAGAGAATAAAACCCTCTTTTAAATGAGCTATCACTCACCACCCCATGCCATTTAAATTTTTCGAAAGGGTTGCTCCCCTCGAGTAAGGGATGAAATTAAGGGTAAAATAATCATACAAAAATGTACATTGTAGAAAACAAAAATCGACCTGTCTCGGCGATTTTCCTAACAAGACTCCAGTAACGAGTTAGTTAGGGGGAGGGGGGTAAGACTTAAGATTCTCACTGTATATTAAATGGTAACAAATGATACTTGTATTATTAGGATTTTATAAATAGTGATTTATAAGAAAAAATATTTCTCATTTAATTTATTTAAAATTTATGCAATCATTGCTTATATTTAATCAATTCTGCTTTTCTGATGTTACTTTTGAAGATAAGTTAAAAATTTTTAAGCGTTTTTTCAAAAAACTGTCAAAGAAATGGTAATACACACGAATGTATTATATACAGTAAAGACAAAAATAGTACCTTCCTCTATTTAAACTTCTAAATTTAAAAAGATAATGACAAAACAAAAACGAGGTAAAACTCAAGAAATATATGATGATATATTCCGTATTTCAAAACGCTTTGTACTGTTTTACATGTCGACTTTTTGCTGCACAATCTAGCTTGAGCGCTCTTGGCAATCGGGGATTTAAAGACTGAAAGCATTTAAGAGACTCTTTAGCACATCATGAAAATGCTAAAACTCATATAGATTGTTTGAAATCATGGCTTGAATTGAAGTAAAGATTAAAAATAGATGAAAAAATAGATGCAATTTCTCAGAGACTCATTGATTCTGAGATAAATCACTGGTGTGAAGTTCTTCTACGCATTATATTAGTCGTTAAAATGCTTAGGTGAGAGCTCTCTAGCTTTTCGAGGAACAAGCAATAAACTGTATGAACACAATAATGGAAACTTTTTGAAGTTAATTCAGTTATTGGCTGAGTTTAATCCAAAAATGGAGGAACAAGTTCACAGAGTCTTCAATAAAGAAGAAATCAAGCTTCATATCTGGGGAAAACTATACAAAATGAAATAATTGAATTATTGCATGACAATATAAAGCACCACATCATTGAGCAAGTTCAAAAGGCCAAGTATTATTCTGTGATTCTTGACTGTACTGCCGATGCAAGTAAAGTAGAACAGATGACGTTTGTGGTAAGATTTGTCTCCATGCAGGAATCAGAGTCTAAAGTTCAAGTTAATATCAACGAACATTTTCTGGGTTTTATACCCATTAAGAGATCAACAGCTAAGGAATTTTCGAAGGTTTTACTAGAAGAGCTAGAGAAAAATAGGCTTAAAATAGAAAACATTCGCTGTCAAGGGTATGACAATGGTTCCAATATGAGAGGAGAAAAATCGGAAGTACAAACAAGAATCAGAAATATAAACCCCAGAGCATTTAATGTTCCATGCAGCAGCCATTCGCTAAATTTGGTTGTAAACGATATGGCAAAATCCTCGTTTGAGGCAGCCAACTTCTTCAATATTGTTCAAAAGTTATATACATTTTTTTCTTCCTCTTCTTTTCGTTGGGCAATATTACTGAAATATATTGATACTTACACCCTAAAACCATTGAGTGATACGCGATGGGAAAGTCGAGTCGACTCATTAAAAGCTCTGCGGTTTCAAATTGGACCAATTCACGATGCTTTGTACAGCATATATGAAGATTCAGAAATCGATAATATGATCAGAGACGAGGCTAGCGGATTATTAACTAATTTGAAGCAGTTCAAATTTATATACTCTGTTGTGATGTGGTACAAAATTTTGAGTCATATTAACCCCATCAGCAAATTTTTGCAAACTGTACATTTTAATATGTCACAAGCTATTGATATGCTTAGCAACTGCAAACTCTTCTTTGAAAACCTGAGATCAGATGAAGCTTTTGAAAGCATCATTTTAGAAGCAACCGAGCTTGCTTCAGAGATTGACGTGGAAGCTAACTTCGAAACCACTACACCACGTCATCATGTCAGAAGCAAAACAAGAACGTTTTTGTATGAGGGCCCGGATGAACCCGTTCAAGACCTCAAACAAAAATAAAAAATAGATTTTTGTTTCACACTATAGATCAAGCAATAAATGCCTTGGAAATCAGATATAATTTGCTAAATATTCACAGTAATTATTTCAGCTTTTTGTATAATATTTTTGGTCTAAAAGACATACTCAGAAATGAGCTACTGGCTCATTCAAATATTTGGAAGTAGTTTTAACTGATGGAAATTCAAGCGATCTTAACGCTCTAGAACTAGCCGATGAAATAAGCATTGTTTCGTGATTATTAACAAAAAAGGAAACCCCTGTTGAAGTTCTCAAGTTTATCGCTACACTTAAATTCGCACCAAACCTCAGCATAGCATTAAGAATCCTACTTACGTGCCCAGTCACTGTGGCTTCAGGGGACAGAAGCTTTTCAAAACTAAAAATAATAAAAAATTATCTCAAAACGATGTAGACGCAAAATCGTCTCAATGGATTGGCAATGATAGCTATAGTGTTACTACCATTCCTCTAGGAGAAAACGAGGACTAGTGGGTTCATAATATTCGATAAATATTGGTAGAATGTTGTATTTTTAGGTAAATATAAAAGTAATATAATTTGTTTATATATCGCTAGGATCCGAAGAATATATAATATTGTGACGTTTTTCTTTCATATATTTTCTATTTCCTGATTCAGCATGTTTCAAAATATGTATCCCTTAGCGACAATAATTTAAACAATGGAAAGTTCTTACTTTTATTATGATTGAGTCCAGTAGCGTCTCTGGAAGTATTATTCTTTATTACCAATTTTTTGTCTTCCTATTAAAGTGGTTCCAGGTATTTTCTAACAATCCCAAGCTTCGCAGGTATATTGGGAGGCAAGCTATTTGGCTATGAGGCTAAGCAGAAAGGTCAGAAGCCACGGAGGGAGCTAAGAAGCAAATCAATAAACTACTAAGCAATAAGGTACTCCAAATAAATCCATAAGAATAAGTACTACCTGTACAGAAAAGCCTAAAACAATAGATCATAATTATTTACTTCCTTTATTAATGATCATGAATTTTGGTTGAGGAAACTTACCATGCGTGGTGAGTGGCTTAGAAGTAGATTAGTTTTAGAAAAAAAAAGTATATTTTATCCACCAAGTGTATTAGCAACTCTGCTTATTACTTTTTTTTAAAACTAATGAAGTAATCTTTCTTTTAGGGCTAATTTAATCCGAAAATTCATCGAGAAATAGGGAAGCACATGTTCCAATTCAGTAGCCAAAAAAAAAAAAAAGAAAGAGGTAGTGAAAAGAGACAGTTAATCTTAAGACAAAATGGAGTAATTCATGACCAATAGGAAAGTAGATATTGACCTTTACTTTAGGACGAGGCCTGAAGGAGAAAGAAGAAACGAAAATGAAGAAGAATCTCGAAAGACTGTATTATTGTACAGAGACTAGGTTATGGTAATAATAACAAAAATTAAATAAATGTTGAAATTAAGTTTAATAAGTTTTATTTATTAAGGCAAGTACCAGAAGATTTTCTCTTTTAAAATTAAATTGAATAGTTAGTTAAAATTGCACAAAATCATAACAAACATTACTTAAATGTACTTTTAAATTTAAATTACTTTCAACCCGTAACAATAGAACACCAAATTAGTGACAAACTAGACTTGAAATCACTGGTTCGTGAGTTTGCCGAAAGAAAAGTGAGAAAAGGGGCATTTTAATTACTTTGGTTAGTTAGAATTTATTTATAATATGGGATATTAGTTTAGTTAGCACACTACATTTTAATTTTTGTTATTTTGCCTTAAGTGCTAAATTGCTTATCTTGT